AATCACTTTCTCATTCATGGGACTGGAAGTATTTTTGTACAAATTTGACCCTTCCAAATATATTAAATATCGACACATGATTGTTATCCTGTCTTATTGCAGTGTATTTCAGGGAAGTACTTGGTTGCTTTTATGTTTTTATTTAAAGAGGGTCTGAGATGTAAGTGGTGTAGTAAGGACTAGGTAGATCTCCTGGTCTTTAGGAACTATAGAAAGCAATTAAAAGAAATAAAAAGTGCTATGAAGGAGCTGAGTGAATTCTTTACGTTACTCTTTGCCACAGAGAATGTTGTGAACATTCTGTTCTTTTCAGACAATGCAGATGGGACATTATCTGATTATTGAATTAGAGAATCAAAAAATTGAATGCTCAAATTCTCAAGACCCCTCAGTCACAAGGACTACATGCAGTTCCTCCTGTGGTTCTAGAGAATGAAGAGGCTGAGCTGCTGAGAATGCCTCTGCTTAGGAGGTGATGCTGTGCCAGAAGACTGAGAGCTGTCAGTTGGTGTATGTGCTGCACTTCTGAACTGAACTTATCTGGAATTTGCAGACCAAGGATTCTTATTTTAATGCCAGGCTAACTGATGTAAATACTTGAATACAGTCAAGCAGTTCTGTGAGCACACAGATCTAATAGAGCCTAGTTTCCTACACAGCTATATGCCTTAGAGGTACCAGCTGGTGCTGGGATGTTTATAAGCTGTTTCTATTATGTCTGTATTGATGTTTTAATAATGTGGGTACATGCTGCAGCCTCTAGTCAGTTTGTGCAGTTTGTGGCTCTATCTCTTCTACTCACCTGTCCAGTGCTTGGAATTCTGACATCTCTGAACACATACAAAACTGGAAATGCTTTTTGCTTGCACTTCCACAAAACTAAAATTGGGTAGTGGACTTAAAAGTTATGAAGGGTCACACAGAACCTAGGTAGGCACGTTAAACAACATTCATCTCATCTATCTTTACCTGTCTGAACAAATAAGCAGCAGGAAGGTCATCTGTTCGGCACTTCTAACAAAAATAGGGGTTTGTCAAGTTGTGCCTCAAGAGCCTATAGTAGAAGTGTTTACTTTTGTCTTTAAATAAGCATCCAAAGTAAAATTCTATATACGTTTGGTAAAATTGGAGAAAGTTGTGAGGAACTGGAGGACAGTCTTCTAAAGACTGGTAGATGTCATTCAGTATTTGCAGTTACAAAATAACTCTTAGCGGAAGGAATAACCAAACTACTTAAAGAGATTTCTAAATTACAAGTAAATGTTGCAAAAATACATTTAAGCTCCCAGATGAAAATATCCTTAAGAAGTGTCCACTGTGAAAGAAGCAGCTTAAAAACTTATTTTAGTGATGCTCCTTAATAGCTTTTAATGAAAGTTCCTTACTTAGTCATCTCTGCTGAAATGAACTGCCCATCTGGTTTCATTGCGAAAGCCATTGATGCTTACTTTACGTATCCTCTGGGTGTTTTTAAATGCTGTTGATAAATAACAAGTTCTTGACAGATAAAGTCTTTGCAGCTTACATAATTAAAATAATACTTCTTTATTTCTCGCTTTTGGTTTTATTTTCTTCGGATTATCTCTAAATGCTCAATAATGGCAATACATTCATTCTGCCATTTGGAGGAGCCTGCGCCACAGAATAATGATCTGAAGAGAGCTAATGTATTTGCAAGGAAGAGTCCTCATTTGTGCAATAGTGTTGATGCAGCTAAGAGGTGCCTTGCCAAGTTCAGGTAAGTGTTTTCTCTTTGCTATTTTAAAATGTAGGTATGCTGCCATTTCATTTGAATTAGCATACATGCGTTGCCATGTCAGAGCCTGTCAGGCTTCATGTTGGTCATTTGGCACGTGAGGTATTCTGAAATGAAAAGGCATGTGCTGTAGCATGCGTGCCTACAAGATGTGTAGAGGGAGTTTTTGTCTTGAAAATTATTCTGGGATAATTCCTGATCTCTGGAGTAGTTTGTGAGGATGGAGATATGGTGATGATAATGACACAGTTCCCTTTTGCTGCAAGCTCTTATTCAGAGTTGGGCTTCTTTATATTTGGGATTAATTATTTTGCAGCGCCATGGACGGCTGTGGTTATGGATGTAAGTGTTAATAATTAGTTAAGATGGATCCTTAAATTTTGACGTGGTAACATTGGCTCAGGATTTAATTTTATATTGTGGGTGTTTTCTGTTTGTTTGTTTTTTTTTCTAGATATCCAATTATTTTAATAACATAATAACAACTTTACAGTAGAAGCTGCTTTACAGCCGTACTCTGCGTGAGGAATGTTGGCAGTGTGGCTCCAGAAAAAAAGTGCTGGCAGTAGAATAATAAAATAATCATAAATAAATACTTAAGTGCATACTTGAGTTTATTTTCTTGTGTTCTTACTGCAAGCTGCAGAGGTTTAGCTGGCTATAGGCTTGGTCTTCCAACCATTAGTCAGACAAGAGAGAATTTCCAAAGAAAACCAAACCATGCTTATCTGTAAGGAGTAGTACAGTTTGTCAGGCTTTTCTGTGGTGCATGCAAATCCAGACCATTTTCATGACACTTGTCTGCTTTGATGTTAAATTACTGGATCTCTTGCATAGGGACGTTTCCATACATATATATATATATGTATATATATATATGTATATATATATACACACACACACACCCATTGTCTGAGAGCATTAAAATACCATTTGTCTTGCTAAAAGTCCACAGAATGAGAAGTACTAATCTATATATATATATATATAATCTATCTATCTATATATAATTTAGTACGATCAGATACTTTGGGTCCAGAAACAGAGACTTCTGTTCTGCTTGTTTTTATGGACATATTTAACTGTAATTATTGGTGTCATCCTTGGACAGCGCTTCTTCCTTAGAACTTCAGTGCCATAAAAAAGGGCAATGCTTTTAATGTAAGCCTTTGCTTTAGTGTCCTGAAACTTACGATGCGAAGATACTGTCTTAAATAACTGGAATAGATCATTAAGCACCAGAATCTAGTTAAGAAATGCATTTGAACTCTTAGTAAGGTACTCTAGATATGGTCAGCACCAGTGACAGCTAGGTTGTTTCAGTAAAGTTCTAAAAAGTTGAAATACATTTCAATGGAATCATCACAAAAAGAAAAAATAATTTTGGAGGCTATTCATAAAATTTGTCATTTTGCTCTGTAATATGAATGAAATGAGCTATGCATCATTTTCAAAATACTTTTTTATATATAAATGCCACAGAATTATAAAAACTGGGGAAATGATGCATCTGTCTTTTAGTTTTTATTTATGCAAAGGACAATATTCTTAAGCTTATTAGGTTTTTGTATAGGTATATTTTGTATAGGTGAGAATTGATACTAGCCGTGCGCAAAGCTAAACTGTTATTAAACACAGTACTACAGAAAACAAGGTGGGACAAAATTGAAGCCTAAACCAAGTTCAGTGTTATTCTGTAATAATGCTTATGATGTGTGAAGTGCAGATATTGAGATCAATAAGTATGTTTTTCCCTGAATCATTGAATGGAACTATTATTATTAGCACAGCCTGCCATGCTTGGACGGAGCCGTTTTTTCTTCAAAGAATAAACAGAATGCTGCATCTAAAGAGTAAGAAGGTAAGGCACTTGAGATTGTTATTTCAGGAAGCAGTTAAAAGTAATTTCAATGACTTGTAATGAATGCAAATATACAAAAATACTTTTTTTTTAATGCATCGTGAAGTCTTAAATGATTTATATCAGTTCCTGCCTGTTGGTGTTTTTTTTCTTTTTTCCCTATTTTCCATGGGTGGAATTTCTGAAAGTATTCAGCTCTGCTTTCTAAATGTGTTTTTGCTGAAATCAGTGAGCTGACCTGAGTGGGAATAAAAGATGGTTTATCTTTAGTGAGACAAAGTTAAGTCATCACTAAGTAATTTTGAAATCCTGTCCTTGAAATACTGGGGCTTTGACATTCAGTGGGATGAGAATCTCACAACAGACTGACCGCTGTGGACTCCCAGGCTACAGCTCAGGTAAATAACTTCATTGGAGGAGGATCTGAAAGGTTTTTTCTTTTCTAAATTATGATCATTAGGAAGCAAAGGGTGCAACTTAAACTGTAAAGATTTTCCTCACATTTAAAATAGATTTGCCTATGCCTGTGAGAGGTCCAGTAGTTCTAGTTGGAGCATTATGCAATTATCTCATGATTCAGAAGTACTGTTTCTAAAGAGATCTTCTTTACTACCATAGGACGTGAATCTGTAGTTCCACTCACAGTGATTTTATCTTGTTTTCCAACATATAGCCAAGAGTCTAGTTCTGCTACTGCAATTTCCATTTTGCAAAGACAGAGATGTCTTGGTAATGCATGCATAATTTAGAAATAACAGCTTCTCTATTGGAATAAGTGTTAAGGGCTCTGTTCAGATCATAGAATTAACTTGATTTGTTTCCTGCTCCTGCTGGTATGCACTTTCTGCAGGTAGCTCAGTTGTTTGAGTTCCAACAGCCCAATGTAGTTTGTAACCGGAGCTGTGAAGTCACCTGGAATTGGTGCTACTTTACTTTTATTCCCACTCTTGTGAAGTTCAGTAGTGAAGCAGGTGCTTCTACTGCATTAGTGGAGGCAGGGAACTTGGAAAGAAACTGAGCGTGCCATGGGAATGTGAACTGTTACAGTCATCTCCTGTAATCAGTTCTGCCTTATCATCTGGGGTCTTCTCTCACTTTCTGTTTTGGTTGACATGAGGAGGGGCTGGGCAGAGGAGAAATCGAAAATGATTTTGTAATTGGTAAGAAAAAAAAAAGCTAGAAATGTACTTTCTGGAGAAAACATTTTTTTTTAAAACGTGGCTTTATGAGTCATTAGATCATTTGAATCGTGAATGTTTTGGGGATTTGTTTATTTAAGATTTACAGTTACAGACTTCCTTGCTTTCTTCAAAAACAGAAGGATGCTTTTAAAGATAAGGATTTTGAAATGAAGAATGAAAAAGGAGAATGTTTTACGAAAAAGTTTATAACGGACCAAATAAACGTGTATGTTATCTTTTAAAAATATTTAACTCAAGTGAAGCTCCTGTATGGCAAGCCTCAAGACCAAGGTAAGAGAGTTTCTCTGAGAAAGGGGAGAGGAAGCTAATTGTTTTCCAAAGAGAAATGGGACAAAGGTATTCCGTAGTACTTACACATCAGTGTGTTGGGCACAGAAAGAGCTATGCACACGAGTCATCTATCTGGCTCTGATACTATGCTTCTAACTTAGTGTGCTAATGATAGAGAAGTTGCTGCCTGTGAGATTTGATTTTAAGCCCTGAGGTGAGTTACTCAGTGACAGCAGTACTAGATACCACACAACACACTGAATATTTGTGTTCCCAGCATTATGACATTGTTTTAAGAGCAGAAAGATGTCCTGATCATCAGCATTCAGCTTAAATACCCCCCTCTTGGATAATGTTATTCCCCTCTTGTTAATGTTGTCATATTGAACTGGGTGGTTAAGTTTTCAGAGGAGACTGTTCTTCCTTATCTGAAGTCTGACTATGGGAGTTTCAGGGTCTTCAAAAGAGGACATATCTCATTTCTGGTGCACTTGCCAAGAAGAGGTTATGAAGACTGCATAGTGTCTTGAAAAATGAACTTTGTTATCTTGCTATGGAATGGGAAATTGTATGTGTTAGGCAGTACAGGTTCCTGATTGCTTCATTTAATAATATCTTAAGGCTCTATGGAGTTAGTCTGAAGTGCCGTGCTTCTTGCAAAAATAGTAGAGGTGGAAGCACAGCAGAGGGAAAGAACTAGTGAAACTGTAGGTCAGGAAGAGGATATGTTTTCTTGGGTTACAGACCAAGTTATGGAATGCCATCTTCCAAGATGCAAACACAGTACTTGGATCAAATGAGGACTTTGATCAGCCCTTTAAGAAGGGATAGTCAGAGATACGAATTTTATTTTGTGCAGCACTTTAAGTACAGCAGAGACCTGGCACTAAGAATCCAAATGCCTCGAAAGGCCTTGTGCTTCAGATGTAGACAGTCTTAAATTCATGGACAAAGTATTTCATTTTTTAGATGGATGAAGTGCCCCGTGCTTTGGTTTGTTAATGGCCGTGATTGGAAACATCTTTTTGCTACGTTCTGCCTGTTATTTTCAAGACTGATGCTGGAATTTATTTACTGTCTGGTTTGTCGGTGAAGATATTCACAGTTCTTCAAGCCGTGTGTCTGCCTTGACACATACTGTTTGTTCCTAAACACCAAGTGAGGTTGTTCACTCCAGATCTGTTTCTGCTATTGCTGTCTCTTTCATCCTGGTTTTAGAGAAACTGACTTTTGTGGCAATTTGCTGTGGACTAACTTCTTATTGGGCCATTTAATTCTGGAGGTGTTGGTCGTGGATATTATTACCTAACAACCTTGTTTACCAACAAAGGTCAATTAATAGTAGTATCTGACAGCCACAGAGGCATAATGTGGGGCCAGCAATGTGAACTGAATTTCCTAGTCATATTTTATTTATCAGAATATCTATCTGTAATATTAAATATAGTAGATATTGAAGATTAATCTCGTCTAAATAATAAAGAAAAAGAAACTGACTATTGGAAAGAGAAACTTGGCTGAGGGATTTTGGAGAAAAAAAGCTTTGGCTTCTACAGGAAGAAAATATATATATTCCTCATTTTTCTTCCAGAAGTCTACTGGAAATTTTTACCCATAGTTTAAAGAAATGTTCAGATGTCCAAATGCAAGTGATTTAGAAGTAGTAACTATTACACTCTTCAAGATGCTTTATGTAAGTAAATATTTTAATGCAGTTACTCTGATCCAAAACTTCATTGCATTGGAAAATTGCAGTTCATCCCTGTGTACAGTAGACTACTGGTAGGTCTTTAAAGTGCTCTCTTAACTTTTTGTATTGAGCTAATTGTGTAAACAAGTCTTGTTTGTTTAACAAGATTTTCTGGAGGAGTAATGTACTTCTCTTGTGTTTAGGATAAGTTGCTACAATTGCAAGAAGTTTAGTTTTATTTTCAACTTCTTTGCTCTTGCTGAGGCTGATCAACTAGCAAACAAAATGTTTTAAGAACTTCTGTTTGCACCAGTTTCATTTGTAAGATTAGAACAAGTTTACATGATTAAAATTCAACAGTTGATGATTATTTTTTAGTATCTGATATACCTATCAGCTACTTTCCATGTGCTAGTTGGGGTATGCTTGATACAGTTCTCATTCTGAACTAAGCACACACAGCTCAGCTGTGGTAAGCAGAGATTATACTGTAGGTATTTCTCTTTGTCAAAAGATTTCTGGGTGTTGGAGGTTTCTCTTCGGGTAAGAGGGAGATAGGGAGACAAAAACATGCCTTCATGCTTTAGTTTAGTTCAGTTTAGTTAGCTTCAGTTTTCATAGTTTATGGAAACATTAGGTAAATTTTTTTACTTGGACATTGTGACTTAAGCTTGAATAAATCACGAAATTTCTATCCTGTATATCTGCATTTATCTTGAGTCTGTTTTGAAAGCTATTGTAATACAAATCATAAATAATCATAAGTAAGCAAGAATATAATAATATATAAATCATGATAAATCATAAATAAGCAAGAAAATGTATTGTTTTATCAGGTGATTCTGGTGTTTTAACTCAGTCAGCTGGGAGATCCAATCCTTAGAGACCTGAAGGTAACCTGCATGTAAAACTAACAAGTAAGGAAGACCATGCTATTTGCTCCTTTTAATGAATATTTGTGGAAGTAACTAAACTTTGTCCCTTTAGAAGCAAAAGGGTTGTTTGTGGGTGTGTTGGTTTTTTTTCATAGCATAGCCTGTATTTGCAGATGTTTAAAATAACCAAATAAACTAGATAATGATGGAAATAATATTGTGTGACAGAACTAAAGGGATTTTGTTGAATAACTACTACCTGCTGCTGTCGTTGACAGGCAGAGATAACAGTGGTCATTTCCAGTGCTGTGGTCTGGCTGAAGAGGAGTGATTGCGTTATGTGTTTTTCAAAGAAGAGTGCATGCTTAGTCAGGATCCAGTGTTTGTTCCAAAATTCAACAATATTGCAGCATTTTTATTTCCAAAAAAAGTTAGTTAAATGTGGTAAAGTATTATGAAAAGAATAGTGGCACCTTAGTGGCACGCAGAACACTCTTGTCAGCTGAACTTGACAGAATCTGGCAGAAATTCAAAGTATGGTTTGTTTCTAGTAATTCCATTAACATTTCAAAGGTTGATAATGTTCTGGGAATTACACAGCAGGGATTATTTTTTGTGTTAAGAATTAGTACTCTAAAGCTTTGCCTGCACTGGGAATATTGCAGCTATCTTGCAATATTCAAGATACTAAGTTCTCTATCAGATATTTTGCTACTTTATCTATATTGGCATAATTAAAATAGCATCTTCTTGCCTCCTAGTGTGAATAGAGCTGTATCAGTATAAAACTATATGTTGGTTGCTTATTTCCAAATAGAAGGGAACAACCTAGGAGGGCTGGCCCAATTTCAGAAAATGTTTTTAATTATATTGCAGTTGCTACGCCTCTATGAACTACACGGGTGAGACCTTACACCAGAAGAAAATGACTTCATTCTAGTTCCTTTGCTCTTATCCACAGGGCTCCATAAAAGGTTGCATCCTTTAGTTTTGTATGTTCAGTTTGTCTTTGTGGCAAACTTGCGTGTTAAACACATGTGCTTATATTCTAGAAAGCATAGATGATGAGTGGTTTGATAATAACAATGCGTCTTCATCTCTGAAACAACCCTACCAGTCTGCTCAGTTTATACTGGAACAAGTACAGTTTAATGGGAATGGTTAGAATTTTCCATCTGGCTGTTGTACCAGAGCCTACAGATCATCTGCCCCTCCGAATCCTAGTTTCACTCTTGTTTAGTATGGAACAAAATGTTTGACGTATCCTGACCAAACTTTCACTGCTGTTTTATAGATCAGTGTCTTGTCTTCCTTTTCTGATGTGCAAAACGAAGCTTGTCCAATATGTGTTACCCCAAAAACTATTAAGATAATTGAAGTCAGAATATCTGAACTTGGATCACTTGCGATTAAGGATGATCTGCATGCACATCTTCTGTAAAGATAATGGATAACAGATCCAGATAATTCCTGATTTAAAGCTACAGACGAGGGAGTAATCCTGATTCCCATATTAAAAGGAGGGGAATTTCATAATGTGGGGAAGACTGAGAATGTGTGGAGCCTTTCTGCTCTGAGACTGCAAGTACTGAAGAATGGACATGAGTCAGAGACAGGGACAGAAAGAGCAGAAAGTCTGAGGGACCTTTGACCCTTCAGAGAACATTCACCAGGTTTAACTAGCTGTTCTCTGTCCGATGCTCACTGACTGTTTCACTCTTTCTGCCTCTTCTGCTTCAATCCAGTTTACACTGCATGCTTTTTTTCCCCCAATCTGCTCTCCTTGGTGCTTTTAAAAGTTTTTTGTTTGGCTGACTTTTTTTTTTTTTTTCTTTTTTGTTTGTTTTAATGGAGGACTTTTAACTGTCCTGTGTTCGTCCACTCTCTGACAAATCAGAACTTCAGTTTTCATAAGTCTTTCAAGTATGATGAGTGTTCCTTGGTCCTGCTTTTTGTAAGGAATCACTTGAAGGCAAATGAGTACCCTTAATGAGATGAGATGATGTGTATGAGATTTAATGGGATAAGGGAAGCTTTGTTCCTACAGATTTTCTGTAGGTGAACTAGAGATTTAAAAGAGCAGATGTTGAAACATCTATACATCCTTCTGTTCAGAAAAAAAATTCTGTAACTTTATTTTATTACAGTCCAACATAGTATGTATGATGAACGTTTCAGAATGGATATTATGTTGACTGTGTTCGCGTTGTACATGCAGTTGTTGGCAATATTGTTTGTTTGTTTTCCCTATTCCACATCTCTTAAATTTGCTTTCTAGAAATCATCTTGGTAGGCATAGGTTGCTTGTGTGAAATCTGTTCTGAAGCTTCAGTGCAAAGCAAACACAGCACTAATGATGGATGTGAATGGACATTTTAAGGATAACTGGATATGGCATCTTCAGAAACAGTGGCATTTTGGTAAGAATCTGCATATAAATTATGAAATAATACATGATGTTTTTCTGCAAAATGTTTATATCTGTCTGAAAATTTGTCCAGTCCCTTAATGGAAATGTTTCTTCTACCATGTGATAAGTTGGAGGGTTGCTCTATATTGTGCAGCACTTTAAAAATGTACACAATTTTACTGAGCAGCGACTTCTTGCATGTGAAACAGTAAGTTTTTAGATGACCGAGGGTTTTTTAAAGTATTAATTAGTGACTATTTATGGTTCTCTGCTTCTGAGCCTATTTCTCTGAGTATTTACAACTGGATATTTTTGAACTGTCACTAAACAAACAACACAAATACTTTTTATTATAGACAGACTAAATGTTAGAATTGACCTCCAGTGGCGTGTTTTACCACTGCGTGTGCAACTGTTCTAACAGGCAGTGGAAGAAACAACCCAGTTTTGTGGAGGATATTCAACATTTATTTATTTATTTATCAATCACACATTAATCATAGCTGGAGGCTTTCAATCCTTGTGTAGATTAAAGAAAAGTATAACAGTAGCATGTTAAATTACTGTACTAATACTACTTTGCTGGAAGCTTCATAGAATTTAAATAATGTACACAGTTAAAAAGCTTAAGTAGGGAAACACCAATGGAAATTGTACTGTAACCAGAGTCCAGTATCATAAAAGTGTTTCCTTTTACTTTAGTTTTTAAAACAGCTCAGGCCAATAATTCCTCAAGCAAAAATTCTTATTTCCACTGAAACCAGTTATGCTCTTAGTTGCATATGTATTGATTCTTGAAAGTCACAAAGAATCTGTGCCTATTTTTCTTCCTGCTCTTTGAATCCCACTGGTGGTGGTGGTTGTAATGGAACTGTTCTGATAACAGCTAGCAGTTCTTAAGAAGGCTCTTAAAGACATTTTGAGGTCATGGGTACGTATACGTTGTGCCATGCAGAAACCGAACTTATTTCAGATAAACTAGTTCCAGAGCTGAGGTAACGTTTAGCACTGTGCTGCTTGTCAGTGCAATTGCAGTTTTAGGGCCTCAGGAACTCTTAATTTTAACATTCCATTCTGAAAACAACGATGGTTCCTGAGCTGGTTCATGAAAAGATTAGCTATTAATTGAATGGACAGTGTTAATGTCTGAGAATGGTAACAGCATTCGGTTTGCTGTGTGTCTCCTGCAGCCATTAGTCTCCAGCTCAAGTGCATTGTAGTAACAGGGGTACTTCATATGGGTACCTGAGGAGAGGTGCAAAACTGCAAGTGTGTGTTGGTAGGGTAGGAGCACCTGCTTGGTTGATGGAATCTGGTTGCACTGTGCTCATTTACATTGCATAACCTAAAAGGTACCCAGGGCAGCATTCTATAAAACAGAGTATATCCACTTAGGTATAGTGAAGAAGTATGGAGAATACCTGGTAGCTGGGTTCCTGGGAGGTGTGTGGGCAGAGAGATGATTCTCCAGAAGTCTTACAGAAGTGCGTATGTTAAAACCACTTTAATCTCTTCAGAAAATATCTTAATGTGAGCTATATTCTCATTTGAAATTAATTTTGTGTAAGAGTGACTAGCAGCAATATCTGTCTATGCAATATCCCTTCCTACAGCACTCAGCTTCTCATTTTCACTTTCTAGGTGGGTAGAAGAGATAACCCAGCCTGCCAAGTGCTATGCACTCATTCCAGTGCCAAAATACAAAACACATACCAACAGCTTTAATGTAAGGGGCAAACTAGGTTCCTTCCTTCCTGTGCTGAACAAATGTGTGTGCTAGGTGGATGAATATAAGTTTAGTTATTTGCTTAGATCTATTTACAGGTAGTTTTTTAAACTGCTGTGATTCGATGGGCTATTGCAGTAATTTGGGATGAAGAAGTTAAGCTGCTCACCAGTTTGTTTTGCCAGGCTGATCCTCCACTCAATAGAGGTTTATTTCATGGCAAGCGTTTGGTTATTTTTTGGGCTGTTTGTGTTTAAACCAGATTCTAGAGGGGAAAATTAAAAAAAAAAAATAAGAGGAGTGCACCCTTTTCCATTTTAAAACCCCTCAGATTCTGAAGGATGAAATCAATCAAGAAAAACCTCCTTTGCAGTTTCCATGTCTGAGGTATCTTATCTGTAGATGCAATAGTTGCAAAAAGAAGGTTGGGATGTTACCTGTCTCATTCTGCTGATGTTTTCTAAGGTGACTACTGAGTGATATTGCTTAAATCAGTTACAAGTGATTGATTTGTAAAAGAGCTGATTGGTGTTCAGTGCTTAATTTTTCCGTTCCTAAATCATTTTAGTGATAATAACTTCATTTGTGACACTCCACTTCCACTAGTAGGTGAAAGCTTGAGGGGGAAGATGTTATGGTTCTTTCACAATTCATTAGTTTGTGGATGTTTCTGTTATGTTATTTCCACACAGAATGACTCATAGCTAAATGAACACAGCAGCCTAAAGGCGTGCCCTCACTGCTGCGGCCCGCAGTGAAACTTGATGCCATTATATATAAAAAGAGGATGCTCATACGCGTTTGAATCCTTGAGAAATTACATGCACATTGGGCATATGTACTATCAAACACTTCTTCAACGTAGTTTATTTCAGAAAGTTGTGTTTTACCCTGATTGCTCTTTTTCACGCAATTAATTTAGCGAGTTGTTGGCAACATCTTGGCAACATCTGTCTTGTGAGTGTGAGTTAGAGCTTAGAAACTGTGTCTTTGTTTTGTAAAGCAGTACGGTTTCAGTGTATTCATTTCTGAACTATTTAATAAGAGATTATGGAAGTACTTGCACTGCCACGTTGTTTTTATAATGATTGAGACAGATTCAGAAGTGTTTCTGTCAAGTTGATAGCATGAAAGCACAAATTATAGTGAACCGGTTGGCCTCTGGTTATCCTAGTTCTTCTTGCATTGCGAATTGCTTACCAATTCAATCTTGTTTAACAAAAATGTCAGAAAAGAAGCAGCCTTACCTACTGACATGTCATACATCATCATTTGTGTTACAGAAGTTTTGTATTGGAACTCAAGCACCGCTCTGGGGTTTCCTGTCCTACATCCCTTACACCTCTCTAACCCTGCATTCTGGTACCTCGATTGCAAAATGCAGACATTGAGAGTATTAAATAAAACCTGTACTTTTTTTTGTTTGTTTGTTTTGAATCTTTAGGTGCTGCTGGTAGTGATGGTGTGCTGTTTTGTGTGTGTGTGTTGGCTGTTGTTTCTCCAGGTGTTAAACAGCAGTGTTAACTAAAAGCTGCCATTGTTTGTGTACTGAAAATACATACAGAGCTTCATGTTTGTTCTCTGGGTGGCAGAGCTATGGATTTGATAATACTGAGACAGATTATAGTATAAATACATTGTGAGTGAGATACCTTTAATTTATTGGTCCTATTCAACTAGGCTTGCTATGTGCCAAAGCAAACAAACATGTTTATATTAAGGAATTGTCTTGCCATAAGATTTTCCCTTTATGCTTCTCACAGCTGTACACCATGTCAGCTTTTCTGCGGATGTCCATATTTGTTGTCAGGAAGAGATGTCTGTGCTTACCTAACTGATTCTGCTGACACAGATCTGATCTCCATGCCTCTTCTGGTTTGTGGTGTGCAAGGCTGCAATATATTAATGAGAACTACACACAGCTATCAACAAAAGCTGCCACAACTTCCATGGAATATACTGGAAGACAATGAAAGCAGCAATGTCAATCCCATTTCAAATTCCAGCACCCCAGGCCAAGTCGTTCTGGGTCGCTTAAGGATGTCTCACTAGGAGAGTATAGGAGGGATAAAGCTGCATCCGAACTCTGCTGTATGACCTTCCAGTAGCATTGAAGCATAGGCAGGGGAGTGAGTATCAAAATGAAAATACATCAGAAATTGCCACTTGGGCAGTTCAGGAGAGGACAGTGTTGTTGTCACCGTATCAGGCCCCATTCACCTTTCAATGAACATAAGTAGCAGCAGGATGCCAGAAATGTGGATGTGTTGTGTTCCATCCACATCTGTAAGTATGAACACAGGCTGCTCTGCCTGTGGTACTCTCAGTTTGTGGATCTCTAGTTTGTTGAGATCCTTCCTCCTTTACCAGCAGAGGTCCTGGAGCCTTGCTGCAGCCCGGGGCCTTTTAGCCTTTCCACCTGTTTCAGGGTTGTTTTTTCATCCTGTACTGCCTGCTGAAGATGCAGAGCTCTCTAATTATGTTGAGGGGCTGTGATGTGAGACTGTGTGGGCTATGAAGAAGTGCAGGCAGGTTCATGTCAGGTGCTGAATGTTCTGACCTTCTCCTTTCTGTGCTGAACCATTAAGCCCTTTTATTCCAGGCAGCACTTCCACCCAAGGCTGTACGCTGCGCTGCCATTCACCCAGCATACAAAGGCATGTTCAGGTGACGTTAGGTTCCTCTCGCTTGCATCAATACCAGAGGCAATATTGATTTGGGCCAGCCAGCAGTGCCATCAACAGAACAGCACCACAGTGCTGAGGGGTAGAGGAAATGAGCACGTAGCCTGTTCCAGCTATCAACCTGTTTGACCAAGAGCTGCCTGTGGGTTTGAGCTGTGCTTGTGCATAGGATGCCCTCGTGTTACTGCAGCAGGTTAGATCTTCCCTTGAAGTGTATGGTGCCAGATGTTCTTGTTTAAGAATGTGCTTTGACTGATGGTAAAATAATTCCTGCTTGATGCCTTCATGCTACACGCACTGCAAGGTGGGTGCTCTCTGCAGTGTATCCTGATGGAATCCTCTTAGTTCAATATTTAAAACAAGATGTTAAGAATAAAAAAGAGTTCTGGTCATTAAACTGGAATTAATGTGAAGCAGGAGCTGATTGATAACCTGACACTTGGCTTCTGTAGCACCTGTCTCAAAGCAATGGCTCCTTACACTGTACATTAATCATGAAGGAGAAGTTCAGAAATGCCTCATTCCATCCAAAAGCTTTTATTATGAAGTAAATAGCTTTCATAATATTGGAATGAGCAAATATGTATGTTTAACAAAAAT